AATATCATTTTTCGTGTGTCACTTTGCAAAAATGTCACATGGGGTTGTCCATTTGCAAAGATGTCATAAATTATGAATTTTTAAATCATAAAATTTTAAATTCTAAACCATAAAAAATGTTTTGATCCCTAACAAACTCCTAAACTCTCAAAACTAAATCCTAATATAAAATAGTTAATCCAAACATAAATAATATAATAAATAAATAATTTTACAAAATAACATTTATATAAAAAAATTTTAAAAAAAGACATTTTAGAATAGTGACATTTCTTAAAATTTTTCAAATAATAATAAATGCAAAAATCTCAATCAATCCAAATCAATTAATATTATAAAATTCATATATTTATTACGCCAACATAAAATCATGCTCTAAATACCAAGGGACCTTAGCTCAATCAAGTTGTGACTGTCACCATGGAAGTAGTGTATTCGTCTCTGGGAATCCGACACCTACCGTCCCTTCCCGTGACGTCGAGCCTCAGCCACCGTCCTCATCGTTCCTTCAAAGACAGAGCGCCGGCGAAATCTCCGGCTAGACCCAGCAGAACTAGACGACCTTTCACTTCTCCCGCCAAAAATCCCAAACCTTTTAGGGAGAGAGACGCTTTCCCTTCTTCTCTTCCGCTCCACTCCAAAAACCCATACAGTATCCACAGAGATATTCAAAAGTTTGCGAGGCAGAACAATCTCGAAGACGCTCTCACGATTCTCGACTATCTCGAACAGAGAGGAATTCCTGTAAATGCGACAACTTTCTCCGCTCTTTTAGCCGCGTGTGTTCGCCGGAAGTCGCTATTTCACGGTAAGCAAGTCCATGTCCATATCCGAATCAATGGTCTAGAGAAAAACGAGTTTATTCGGACCAAGCTCGTTCATATGTACACTGCGTGTAGTTCGGTCATGGATGCACAGAAGGTGTTCGACGAAAGTACTAGCTCAAATGTTTATTCCTGGAATGCGTTGCTTAGAGGGACTGTGATATCAGGGAAGAGGAAGTATCAAGATGTTCTCTCTACGTTTACGGAAATGAGAGAGCAAGGTGTTGATTTGAATGTATATAGTTTCTCTAATGTGTTCAAGAGTTTTGCTGGTGCATCTGCTTTGAGACAGGGATTGAAGACTCATGCTCTTGCGATCAAGAACGGTTTGCTTAACAGTATTTTTCTTAAGACATCTCTTGTTGATATGTATTTCAAATGTGGCAAAGTAGGGCTTGCACGTCGAGTCTTTGACGAAATCGAAGAGAGAGATATAGTCGTGTGGGGGGCAATGATTGCTGGATTGGCTCACAACAAAAGGCAGTGGGAAGCATTAGGATTGTTTAGGGCAATGATAAGTAATGAAGGAATGTATCCAAACTCGGTTATCCTTACGACAATTCTTCCCGTACTTGGGGATGTTAAGGCACTGAAACTGGGGAAGGAGGTCCATGCTCATGTATTGAAATCGAAGAATTATTTGGCACAGTCGTTTGTTCACTCTGGTTTGATTGATTTTTACTGCAAGTGTGGGGATATGGTTTCTGGGAGACGGGTTTTCTATGGCTCCAAACAGAGAAATGCCATTTCCTGGACTGCATTGATGTCTGGATACGCAGCCAACGGAAGATTTGATCAAGCTTTGAGGTCGATTGTCTGGATGCAGCAAGAAGGCTTTAAGCCAGATGTCGTTACAATTGCTACAGTTCTTCCTGTTTGTGCAGAGCTGAGGGCTATAAAGGAAGGAAAGGAGATTCATTGTTATGCTTTAAAGAATCTCTTCTTGCCAAATGTATCATTAGTCACTTCCCTGATGGTGATGTACGCAAAGTGCGGTGTTCCAGAATATCCTCCCAGACTGTTTGACAGATTGGAGCAAAGGAATGTGAAAGCATGGACCGCCATGATTGACTGCTATGTGGAAAATGGTGATTTAAGATCAGGGATCGAGGTTTTTCGATCAATGCTTTTATCAAAGCATAGGCCGGATTCTGTTACTATGGGTAGGGTTTTGACTGTTTGCAGTGAGCTCAAAGCATTAAAACTGGGGAAGGAGATTCACGGGCACATTCTGAAAAAGGAATTTGAGTCGATCCCTTTTGTATCTGCAAGAATCATCAAGATGTATGGACAGTGTGGAGATCTCAGAAGTGCTAATTTCTCTTTTGATACTGTTGTTGTCAAGGGCTCTCTGACATGGACCGCCATTATAGAAGCCTATGGATGCAATGGACGCTTAAGGGATGCAATAAACTGCTTTGAGCAAATGATATCAGAAGGCTTTACTCCTAACACCTTCACTTTTACAGCAGTTTTGTCTATTTGCAGTCAAGCCGGATTTGCTGATGAAGCTTGTCGCTTCTTCAACTTGATGCACCGGATGTACAAATTGCAGCCATCAGAAGATCACTATTCAGTCGTCATTGAACTTCTCAATCGGCTTGGTCGTGTTGAAGAGGCGCAAAGACTTTCGGTCATGAGTTCCTCCTCATCCTTGCAAGCCTAACTGCATATTCAGATGTCTTCCTTGCTTCTCTCAAAGGCATCAAGTAAGTTGCTCCAAGATTTCTGAAAAGTATATTCTGTTCTCATGTTTGCAACAACTTGCATTTATAGTATATACTGATTTTGGGTCCAGAAAATGGAAGAACTTGTTCAACTTGTAAAAATTCTTGCAATATCAAATGTAGTTTTTTCTTTATAGTATTAGTCAATGCTTCTTTAAGGGAAGAAAGCACAAGTGTCTGGGTAGAATAAAAAATCTTATAGTTTCATAAGAATCCATACAACATAATACCAAACCAAATCCAGGTTACTACTAAACGACAATTCAAATTGAATTACATAAGCATGAGGTAACAAACAATTGAAAAACAATAAAAAATAGTCAAACCTCACAATCTCTAACACAGCTTATGTAATAGAAGCTATGTGTCTATTAGTAACAAACAATTAAAAAAAATTGGTGAAGAGGTCCATTTTTGGGACCCATGAGAGACAATTGCCCTTCCCTCCAAAACTCAGGTGAGCTTTATTCTTTTGCTATAACGTCAAAATCAAGAACCCTTGTGCTTGATTCTGGAAACTAGACCCTAGTAACTAAGCATTCTAGGCCAATAACTTAAGCTTGTATTGCAAGATCGAGCTGTAGAAACACTCTCGATGAGTTTTGGGATTAAGGGTCCCAAAGATAGTCAGTCTGAGTCTGGTATGTATCCCAAACATTCATCTCCACATCATTAGCAAACCACATAGAGTCATCAGTTGAATGCATCATCATGCTAGGAGATCCCAAAGTCGACTCATTGATCGCTTGAATTTCTCTGGGCGAGAGCCTGACCATCGATGGACCTACTGTGGAGGAGCTTGTGCTGTCCACTTGCATGGCTGACTCTACTGGTTCGGTTCTGAGGCAGAGTACTGCTTCATGAGCTGCCGTACGAATGCTGTCCGAGGTAGAGTCTACAGGACGTGGCAAGCTGCTGGCGAGCTCAGGAAAGTTGAGACGGGCCTCTCGTCCCCTGAAATAGAATGCTGCAACGTCGTAGGCGGTTGCAGCCATTTCAGGAGTCTCGAAACTCCCTAGCCAGATACGGTTCTTGGTCCCCGGTTCACGGATTTCAGACACCCATTTCCCCCATTTTCTCTTCCTGACTCCTCTGTAGGCAGATGGTATACCGACCTGGCTTTCCTTCTGCGCATTGTCACTGTTACTGGAGTTTCTAAGGCCAGCCATAAAACACACACACACAAAATCAAGTGTTTGCTCTGTTTGTATTTTGTCTGGTTGGATTATGATGATGTTTGAATGTTCACAAATGTTGGCAGTTATTTATAGGTGTGATTAAGTATCTTAAACAGCAGATAAAATCCTGTACACGTTTTAAAAATCAGTATCAAAGCTTCAATAGTGTAGTTCTGTAGTTTCCAGGAAACTTCAAAGGTGCTTTGTGGGCTTAACAAGTGTTATTATCTCAATGGGACTGTAGATTCACTTAAATAGTATTATTGTGATTATAATATATTAATAATGAGAAAAGAAGGCATAATCTTTTGTTTTTGAAATGGAAAGAAGTGTAGTGAAGACATGGAAGTATAGCAGAGAGAATCAGATAGATAATAGAGTATTTGAAATTGGATTTTTGCTATTGAAGACGCGGTTTTCTTGCATCACCCCCATGGACCCTTTCTATGATCCATTCCATATCTTTGTGATGGTAAAGGTTGGTGGAAAAGTGGATTTATCCTCAAACAAATGTCAAAGATCAAAGATCATTGGATCAGACACTCCCTCGGGCAATTTTTTTTTTAAAAAAGTCAATTAAAAAAACATCATTGATAACTTTTTTTTTTTAATATTACAAATTAATTATAGACTAAAACTCATACTAAGTTCAAATTTATCGAAAATCAGCAAAAGTTTTAAAACCATTTCATAGAAATATAATAGACGGTTCTCGGTTTAGGTATGTCAAGCCCGACCCTGTGTAAATGCACTCGGCTTTGTGCATGGGTAAGGAGTGTATTTGCACAGACCCATTTGCTTTTAAAAAAAAATTCTAACGATTTTTATAGAATAGAGCCCCGAAATAAATAATTAGTGAAAAGGAGGGTTCGTTTTTGCAATTTTTGATATATAAGGCCAACAAAAAAAATTCTTCCGCTGGGCTTAGTGTAAAGTCGGGTCTGCGGTCTGTATAATATGAATACTCAACAACTAGACTACCATAGTTGATTCTTATCGATGGTATAGTCCATACCGATTACATATGTATATAACTCTATTTTGTCCCATCAGATTTTAAGAGTTATAGGGTTTTCTAAGGATTTGTAAACTTTAATTTCGATTAAAAAAAACTTAAAATCACTGACAACTCATCTATGATCAAAATTCAAAATTTTGACATTCAAAAACTAGAGCTATACTAACAACTAAATGTTTGGTGTAAACAATTGGCACTTAGACTCCAAATGGTGATGTTTCATATTGTACTGTCCCGCACTAGACAATAAAAAAA